AAGCCTGTCAGCATAATAACAAGTCACCTGCAGGAGGCAGCAGAGCCAACTCACGAAAGAGTACGCACATCAGTTACGGTTCAGACAATAAGAAATATCGAACGAAATATTGATATAATACATTAACAATTGTCACAGACCTTCAGAGATTTATCAGTACGTTTGCAATCCTAGTCCTAAGTAGCCCAAACACAATTTTGCAGGCTCAGACCCCAATCACGGAATGTTTAAGTGCATTTTTATCAGCTCATATCTTACTCTTTGCTAGAATGCCTCCAGTCTGGATGCCCTGCCATGAAATTGCTTCCCATGTAGAAGAGAGGAAAATATGCTACACGCTACTAGCTAGCCCAAAAACATCGTTACAAAATCGAGTTCGTTACCACGTCCTAACCAGTGCGTTCAAGTGAGGTCGACGCAATCCGAGCATGTATATAATTTTGCCTCTACAATTAAAAACTAAAACGTTCTTCTTATTACTTGCGTACAGTAGAATTGGGACTACAAATGTGACTAAATTGTAGGCCTGCAGGTAAAATTAATAAAATTAATTCGCTTAGTGGGTGGGGTGGAGTCCAGCTGGGTCCACTAGGCACGGCGGTCACTGATTGACCTATTGTACCTGCTCCCGGGTGATTATGATGATGGAGAATTTGGTGGAATGAAGATTGGTAGGGGAAACAGAAGTACTCGGAGAAAAGCCGCCACAGCGCCACTCTGTCCACCACAAATCTCACTCGACCAGAACTGAGATTGAACCCGGGCCGCCGCGGTGGGAAGCCAGCGACTAACCGCTTGAGCTATGGCGCGAGGCCTGCAGGTAACTGTCCAAATTCGACGGACATTCATGAGTTGAGTCCGTTATTATCGGGTTTTCTCCGAGCACTTCGGTTTCCCCCGCCAATCTTCATTCCACCAATTTTTCCATCATCATAACCACCCGGGGCAGGCTACAATAGGCCAATCAGTGGCCGCCGTGCCGAGTGGACCCAGTTGGACTCCACCCCCCCACTAAGCGAATAAGAAAGAAATTTAACCGCCAAGAATATTCCTGGTACTCATTTCAGATAGAGGCTAAGTCGATTGCAGAGCCATAGTGCTGCCGGAATGATTAGGTAAATTCAAAAAGTCCACCACAACGGGACTCGAACCAGCGACCTTCCGGCTAGTACCAAAGTATCTCAACCAACTTTACATTATAGTATTAAATTTACAATTAATCTTAATTTGAATAAAACATTTTTATATGGGACCTATATAATACGAGTAGATACACTCACAGTTAGTAATAAAAGAAAGTTCTTATTATATGTGAGATACCGGATTTGTCTAAAGTATTAGACCACTGTCTAATGTAAATACACTATACAAATTTTGCAGTAGGTACATTATCATTAAACAAAGAAATGTTACATACGTACTAAAAGGTAAAGTTATCCCTGTAACAGGCCGTGGGATCCCATAGGGTTGTGAGAGGTTGAGGCTTCCACATCTTCCAGACAATCGGCTAACAGATGGCGGTAAATTTGTCAGTTTTATGCGCCGGCCGCCCTTTAACCCAAAGAATATTCCCGGTACTCATTTCTGTTAGAAGCTGAGTAGATCCCAGGGCCATTGTTTGGCTGGAAGGATTAGGTAAATTGAAAAAAAGCACCTCGAAATTGAACCCGCGACCTTCCAGATTGTAGCAGAGTGCATCAACCAACTACGCTACCGCGTATCCCATTACATTCTTCCTTTGCAAGAATAATTAATTTACAAACTCGCATCAATTTATCACTCTTCGGATGACAACAGCATCTTAGTTCATCGACTTCGCTGGCCCTGTTTACCTGACACACCAAGAATTACTACGCTAACGCGAAAGTTCCTGAACTAACTCGTGGCAGAGAAGAAAGGCGGCCTTAATTTTATCCAGTAACTAACTAACTAACTTCATGGAGCTGCGCCCTTCTTGTGAAACCCCCAATTGTGCGGCGACTCACGAAATTTCCAACATTTTATGGAACCCAATGGTTCATTACCATGTTAAGAAGAGCCCTCCTCTGGTTCCTATCCTGTGCCAAATCAATCCAATCCATACCATCCCATCCTATATCTCCAAGATCCATTTTAATATTAACCACCCACCTATGTCTTGGTCTTCCTAATGGTCTCTTTTCTTCCGGGCTTTCTCAGAACTACCTTACATGCATTCCTCCCCGTTCGTGCGACATGCCCTGCCCATCTCATCCTCCTTCACTTGAACTTCTAATTATGCTTGTCAGAGTACAAGTTGTGAAGTTCCTCATTGTGAAGTTTTCTCCAACCTCCTGCCACTTCATCTCTCTTCGGTCAAAATATTCTCCTCAGCCCCTTGTTCTCAAACAATCTCAGTCTGTGTTCCTCCCTTAAAGTCAGAGACCAAGTTTCACACACATACAGAACCACGGGCAAAATTATAATTTTTTATATTTTAATTTTTACGTTTTTAGTCAGAGGATGAGAAGGAAAAAGGTTCTGGACTGAATGGTAGATTAATCCACCTGAGCTCCTACGTTTTCCAAAGCTGTGAACCTATATGAAATTTCAACACGACACTGCTCTTCACCATCTACCTCGTTTAATTTCTTGGCATTGGACCTCTCTATATGAGTTTTGTGAGTATTTATTTCCTCATTGTAAATTTTTCCCATAAATTTACCATCACTAGATTGTGGCCAGGATCACAATCTTCTGCCCTGAAGAATCGGACATCAAGTATACTTAAATACCATATCCTATCTATGAAAACATGATCTACATTTATTTTATCGAATAACAGTGAAAATTATAGATGGAAAAATTTATAATTGTTAAATTTAAGATCAAATATACTGTATAAAAAATGTAACAGCCTTTATCAATTGAGATCACAAAATATTATACAATAAGCTGACTGGAGTTGTGTCCACTTTAACTGCAATAAATAGAAGTTCGGTTTCGGAATATTTTATGATAATTAAAGAGAACTAAATATTAATAGACTGAAGTGCCTAAGTCTGATTGCTTAATATCGAAGTTTTCTATGTGTTTAGGCCTCCTTTTCTTTGAAGCACATTTGGGTTAATGGCTTTACAAGTTACGGCAGTCAGTCAGGCGCAAAGGTTGTTACAACTATGCCACCATCCCAAGAAAGCATTCATTTGGAGGTCCATCAAGAAGTGACGCTGTGAGCTTGCAATCTTGCAGTCACAATCCCCTATTCAGCCTGTGAAAAGGGATTAATTTTCGGGCTTGTGAGCTGGCTAACCGTTTCCACTGTCTCCACTTGTAGGAATTAATTACTTGCCCAGTTCTCCTCACCTTCCCTTTCTCTGTCTTCCTCCCCAATGTATACATTCAGTAAAATAGCCGCCTGTGAATAAGTTTGTCATTCACGACATCATGTCTAACTCTTCTAACACTTGCGAATATAAGACTCAAGGATGACGCTGCTACAGACACCTCTGGTAGCCTTCTCTGCTTTCAACAAAGTCAAAAAGAAAATACTGCATGAAATGGAATCTGTGAAGTTCTTTGAAACTGGAAAGAAGTTTGGTGCACATTATGTGAGATTTTAATTGTCGAATCGCGCTTCTACTCACTGAGATACTTTTACTGTAACTCACCAGCAAAATCTATTGGTCAAAATGCAGGCACCAAATTCGTCATATATGAAGGTCTACATTTTGTTCACTTTCGCCTATTCAAGTAAACATGCACGGTATAACCAATGTTAAATCTATAGAAGGGATACATCAGTACTGCAACAGTGACGCTTTCGATTTGTATTTCGGAAGTGCTCAGTTCGAATTTTGGCACGGTCACTGGCCATATTGACTGAGAGTATTCAAGTTTACCATTAGTATCGTTATATAAACCTTAAAAACATTAAAATTAGCCATTTTCGGGGAAATTAAAAGGCACATAAAAGGTGCAAGGTTATAACAGAAGATCTCAGACATAGAGCGAGATTTCTAGTACAGAAGAAGACAGCAGAGTTTACTATGCTATTTACAGTTGATATAAGAAATTCATGTTAAAAATGGAACAGTATTGTTAATGTCATCTGTGTCTTTAGGAAATACACTGTACGAAGCAGCATTCACACATTTCAGAAATTATGAGCCGGTATTCAGATTGTTGCATTATTATGGTGTTCAAATTGTGGCATGCAACAGAACAACATTTACAGTCTCAAGAGATACTGCGGTGGCATTGTGGAGTTCATACGGATGCAGTGTGAATATCTAGACAAAAAGAAATAAATGCGAGGAATCACTGTGCACTGAGGACGCAAGTAGCTAAGCGCTAGGCGAACAGTTGAAACACTTTATCCCCATGGACATCTTACTTCACACATGTACCCTTCCTACGTGCAGTATGCAAACCATTACACAGGCATGTATAAAACAATACTTGGACCATATGTTGCAGAAATGGGCTCGGCAACAGTGCCATCTGGTGAACCAGGGTAGACTCGGTAATGAACTTGTCAATTGACTGAGATGAACACGGACTGGGGCTACCACAAACACACATAACACACATTTACAAGAGTAAAGAAACCCAGCGAGCTTGGAGCAGGGGTGGGTGTGTGCAAGAGAGAGGGTGACGATATTGTAGCTATCAGCGATTCGGCTGTTCCCATTGAGCGATCTATGACAATTGAAGATGCAGGAAATGAGGGAGGGGAACTACACTGCTACTGTCTTTTCAAAAGATATGCTGTGATGTGGTGAGGGTCTGTCGAACGAACAATGTTCTGACAACAATCAGCCGCCATTGAGCGGTGTTCATTACGGAATGGCACTTTTCAAGCATCCCATAATTTCTTAACGAGGACAGTGGAGGATATTTGTTGATACTTTCATCATGAAAGAGAATCTAGTTCCCAGCTGACGCCTTAACGTCATATAGGCTCATACAAGGAAAACTTACGAGTTAAAATGTTTTGCGTCTTGTTTCTAGCGCGTTGCATTGTGGATGGAGAATCACTAGTGATGCAGCCTTTTCTACCTGGGGTTATGGCATCGGAGTCTTCAGCGAGCGTCACGACGGCTGCTACTACGGGTACGGCAGCGTCGGCGGCGACAACGGCGTCAGAGCGGGGACGTGCAAATTCTTCCAGTTCTGCCGCCAGGCCACTCACGTTCTCGATAGCGAAGATAATGGAACCGGACAAGCGGGTTTCAGAGCCAGTGTTTTCGTTCCCACAGTTTCCTTATCCTGTAAATCTTGATTCGGCATTTAAGAAATACGTACCTTCATTCCACCCGCAGGACCTACTCCACCAGTATCCGTTGCTGTATTATCATCCAAATCATCTTTTGAGGGTGTCTTACCCAACTAGTCCTGGAAGTACGTCTTGTAACGGACCGGTAGGCCCTTCGCCGGGTACGGAATCTAGCCCCATCAGCGCCAAGACTGCCGGACAGGGTCATGGTACCAGAGCTGCCGCGGTCTCCAGCTCTGAGCATAAGGTCACCGGTTCTGCATCACTCTCCCCTAAGCCACAGTCATCGCTGCTACAGCAGTCCCAACAGTCACCGGACCGCCTCACCAAGCGTTCTGCGTCCGGGGCGACCACTGCAAACAAACAGAAAAATTTCACGTGTCCCGAATGTGGAAAGGTTTTCAATGCGCATTACAATTTGACAAGGCATATGCCAGTGCACACAGGAGCCAGACCTTTCGTTTGCAAGATCTGCGGGAAAGGTTTCCGTCAAGCGTCCACTCTGTGTCGCCACAAGATCATTCACACAGCGGAAAAACCGCATAAATGTCAAACATGTGGCAAAGCCTTCAACCGCAGCTCAACGCTAAATACACATACGAGAATCCATGCAGGTTATAAGCCGTTTATCTGCGAGTTCTGTGGTAAGGGCTTCCACCAGAAGGGTAACTATAAGAACCATAAACTAACACATAGTGGTGAAAAGGCTTATAAATGCAATATATGTAACAAAGCGTTTCATCAAATCTATAACCTTACTTTTCATATGCACACACATAACGACAAAAAACCTTTTACGTGTAAAATTTGCGGAAAGGGTTTTTGCAGAAACTTTGACCTGAAGAAACACATGAGGAAATTACACGAGCCCCATGCAACAGGAAGTTCTCTAACGCAGGCATCTCCTCCGTCGTTTCCAAGTGTGTCACCGGCAGGCAGCCATGCGTTCATAGCTCCGTTCTTGTTACCACCTCCAGGGCCGACCTACATCTCCAAGATCTTGTGACCCAGCCACGGATGCTGCAGTATACGAGGAAACGGCTCTGTACCGCTCTTCGTGGCTCCCTCTGCCATCACGGGACCTACCCTGCATGCAGCGTGCCACGTTCTGGGTGCAAGGAGCAGGCGGCTCACACAGAACAGACTTTAATACTAGTATATCCGTTTCGCTTCGCAATAAAGTATTTATAATGCAGCTAGTTACTAAAACCTCGTTCATGAATGCAGAATTATTCCCAAACAATACACAGTAGACCTTCACACACAGGCATATATCGTATACATATACTACCACAGTCAGTAACTTCGTGGAATGGCCGCAAAGCGTCGTAAGGGAATTTACTGCCAACAGGTTTCGGAAATGTTTTCGACAGAGTCATCAACGTTGGCAGACTTGCATAGCGGCCAACGGCAACTATTTTGAGGGCCGATGTGGATCTGCTAAGTGTATGTGAATACCTTGTAATATGATGCGATAAAACCACATTCCACGAACTTAATGACTCTACCACGTATACGTGTGTGTGGGTGTGTGTGTGTGTGTAAGCCTATTTAATTCCTTAGCTTCTTGGGCAAGGGAAAATCCATTTACAGTCAATAGAGCCACACTATCAGGAGCAATTAGGCTATACGGAACAGAATAACTTTCGTAGCGCGGTCTAATTAAGTCGTTAGTCTCTTACTATTCGCTCAGAATGTAATACATCGATTTACTGAAGCTTATGTGTGTAAACAAAGTAACATAAAGCGGTTTTGTGAAGGCAATCCCTGACCACTGGATAACGAAAAAATTTCCAAAGAAAATAATATTATGCAAAATATTGCATGAAAATTATTAATTCCATCAGAATTTCTGGAGGGAGCTTTTAAGGAGACGTAGCTTTTCAGAAGCTAGACATGTGGTTCATTTCAACCAAAAGCTACACAGTCTAAGCTACACAATATATACAAGGGAAAGGACTGTATTATACAGTGCAGTGGCCGCGCCATAGCTCAAGCGGTTAGTCACTGGCTTCCCACTGCGGCGGCCCGGGTTCGATCCCGGGTGTGATCATGTGGAATTTGTGTTGGACAAAGTGGCGTTGGGGCGGGTTTTCTCAGAGTACTTCGGTTTCCCCTGCCAATCTTCATTCCATCAATTGCTCCATAATCACCCTCACCTATCATCTGGGCCTGGTACAATAGGCCAGAAGTGGCCACGGTACAAGGGAATTAGTCCCACCCCACTAGCAATAAAAAAATTCTACAGTGCAGAAGTAATGAATATGTAGGTCAACATGATATATATCAGTGGCACCCTGTAAAATTACTTCATTCAGTTTCTATCGCCCAAGTCAATAGCACGACAAATATTTCCCGTATCTATCTATCTATCTATCTATCTATCTATCTATCTATCTATCTATCTATCTATCTATCTATCTATCTGTGGCTATACAGCCCTTCTGGGCCTTGGTAGCTTTTTCAGTTTCCTAATCTTATACACAGTCGGTACTGTTTCTTGGATGGGGAATCCGCCCGTCGCAGGGCCGCTATACACACACACACACAGAGAGTAACACAGACACAGAATAAATGCGACACACATGCCTTGAATGGGATTGGAACCCACGATCTCAGCGTTCAAACGAGCGAAGACAGTTCATGCCTTAGACTGCGCGGTCACTATGATCGACCCTGTCTCTTGCTAGGCATACTACGTGTATTTCGAGTCTTAGTGTACTGAGTACTGTGTATGTGAGGATCTACTGTGTACATCAGCAGGACATACAATCGAGTAGTAAATACAGAACTGAGGGGTTGACCCAAATTACTCTTAGCGGTTACCTGTAACTGGTTCTTCGTTATTCGATATCAGTGCTATTCGTAACATTTTACAGTGTAGAAACTAAAGTCACCTGCTTTCAAGCCACAAGTGTTTCTTTTCTGTTGTTATAACTTTATACCTCTGGGAACTAAGTAAAGGAGATAATACAAGGTTGAAGGCTTTTTCCAGTTTCCTTTTACATTTTATATTAATTTGTTACATAAAAATATTATGTGCATCTATTTCATTTGTATCAGAATTGAGAAAGATTTTACAAATATCTGAACAATGGAAGAATAAGGAACATCAAGCGCTCGTTAAAGTCTTGCTGGTGATATCTTTTATGCGAACAAGGCGCATTGCAGCGATACATTCTCCAAAAGGGAGGAGATATAGGACCAAAACCATAGCCTTCAACATCAGTTAAGTAACACGGAAACCAAACAGCAAACTGTACCTCATAACTTGTTCTTAAGGCAGATATTTCACAGCAAGGACTAAGTTATAATTACATACTCGTGGGGCAAAAAGTCTCGGATTATGAGAAAAAAACACCATAAAACTGCCGATTTGATAATAGTTATTATTTCTGCCGCTCTGATTAAAATTAACATAAAAGTTTCTTGGGAATTTTATATTAACTTCCAAATAAAAAAATATGGCACTAAGAACCTGGCAGTAATCCTTAAATCGATTCTAATATTATTTGTCTTATGCGCTGACCAGATTCAATTTATTGGTAGAATACGTGCAATACCGTTGCAAATATTATATTTTATGTATTAGGGATCTTTTCAGAAAACCTCTTTAAAATTCAATTGCTCTATTTATTTACACAATGTTTACGTTATCAAAATTTTGCCGTGTGAACTTGAGTAGAATAATTCATTCGCTTTTATTTTACCATCATTATTTTATTCAGGTACCACAAATTGCCCTAACTTTCACCTACCAAGATGAACTTCGTGTCAGAAGCTGAAGGTAGCATACATGATTCAGAATTTGGTAGCGACTGGATTTGCAACGGATAATATAAATCGTGTAATTTAGCTGTCCTTGTAAGTAAATTATAATTTTTACTCTAGCACAACGATATTTACATTGTTTATATTTCTATAGGTCTAATTCAATGATCGAAGGAAAAGATGAAACACTAAATGCTGCAATGAGAATTATCGATCCTTCGTGCATCATTTCAGATTTATGAGTTGGCATATACCGATCAAGTAACTTGGAAATTATAGGCATGCCCTGCTGCCACGGCTAGTTACGTTTCTGGAGGGTTCACAAAACGAAATTTCGTAATGCGATTCGTCATTGTCTGTAACAATAACATAAGTGGGAGGGGGGGGTTACTTTCAAGAGCAAGGGCAACAAAAATATAAATCACTATTTTATTTCCTGAAAATAAATGCATAAGCATCAGGTACATATTAGGTTATGCTATAACAATTTTATACCCTATTATGATTTAAGAATACCGTTAAAAACTGTTGATTTTTTAACGAATGCAGCAAAATCTTACACAAAATACACACCAGAGCGTAGCGCAAGGCGAACTACTGACTGGACGCCATTGTGGTCCTTTGTGTCTGTTTTCGTTTGCTTATGTTCATTTTTATTCAGAACGGATGGGCGGGTTCGAGTTTAAGGGACGAGCAAATGCGAGATTGAGCGCACGAGCGAATTTCAGTACCGCGAATGTTCTTATATTGAGGAGTGTCTATAATATATTATTACCATTATATTATTATTATTATTTAAAACTAAAATGTCAGAGAGTATTCTTCAGCTAAGATCTAAAAGTTTGTGACGATGGTATATTAGTACAAATATCATGTTTTGGACATTATCCATCTTCTTGTCTTTATCTAAAAATCGCCCTCTTTATTTTTCAAAACGCAACGTTTCGGAGACTGGATTCTGTCTCCGTCTTCAGGTAAAACCTACTCAGGTCCAATCGATAGAGCTAGTCTCTATCTTCGGACCGGAGACGGAGACAGAATTCAGTCTCCGAAACACTGTGTTTTTAAAAATAAACAGGGCGGCCTTTAGATGAATCCANGGGGGGGGGGGGGGATAAGGAGCCTGCGGGGTACTGGATGCAGTAGGGAATCCAACTCCCTGTACCATTGTGGTACCGGATTAAATGTTTTCTTGCTTCAGTCGCCTGGAAAAGCCTCCCAGAGCAAGACTTTTACTACTACATTTCTATACTCCACATACGACCATGTTGAATAAAAAGTTCCCCACGCTGAACCTGTATTCATATACTGAAAGCTTCAACATATTAACTCAATTTAGTCATGAAGTTCGCGTGAGAAGACCAAAGATTTTAATGCAAATGTTAGTGCAATATATAGACAAGTATGAATTGTGTATATCAAAGCAAGCGTACAGAAAATTTACATTATATACATGTATATATACAGAGATCGTGTTTTTTATATTGATTGAACTTAATATCAAGAATTTGATGTTGATTATATGTAACTGTGATGCGAATTATATGGAGATCCTGTGTGTAAAGTATTCATATCGCAAAATATGAAGAAAAGCAAGATATTTACGTTATGGTGAACCATGGAGCGCAAGTTTAAATGAATTCCTACAGCGTCTCTTTATTGTAAAAGAAAGGAATTCGGTAGTGTGTTTCATTGTATTTCTCTGAGTGCTCTCCGTTTCAATAGAAGATGTTATTTCCTAGAATAAACAAAGTTGACATGTTGTTTGCCTTTGCATATGCGTTTGGGCCCATAGGCTTGTGGACCCTGTTCAACTGTGCATCTATGAAATTTCAGTCTCAGTATGTGCATCTCTAAAACGGCGAAACAAGACATAGAATACAAACAGTACAAGATGGACCAACGCTTGCAATTGGATATTCATACTCATTAATAAAATTATATTGTTTACGAAGTTGTCATATGAGTTTCTCTCGAGTTTAGCATAAACTTCATAAATATTACATATGAATAAGAGGCTGGTCTTCATAAAGAAATTCCTAAATATTTTCCAGTAGTTCAGAATCCAAGCCTAAAGAGAAGTGAACTGAAATAAAATATAATCTGAAGCATTAACTTTGTGGCAGAACAAACTTAGAGAAGTCCTCTAGAGGTTAGAAAGGTTAGTGTTTAAATACATGTAAGAAGTCAATTACGTCCAATAATGTTAGCTCTAAATCAAAATATTAAAGAAATATTGGAATTAGTTCTTATAAGTCACAAATTACAAATAGTCATAATTTTTTTAATGCTAGTGGGGTGGGACTAAGTCCCTTGTATTGCGGCCACTTCTGGCCTATTGTACCAGCCCCAGATGATAGGCGAGGGTGATTGTGGAGAAATTGGTGGAGTGAAGATTGGCAGGGGAAACCGAAGTACTCAGAAAAAACCTGCCCCAGCGCCACTTTGTCCACCACAAATCCCACTTGACCAGACACGGGATCGAACCCGGGCCGCCGCAATGGGAAGTCAGCGACCGTCAGCGACTAACCGCTTGAGCTATGGCGCGGCCCAATAGTTATACTTACTAAATATTTGTTATCGGTAGACAAGTACTAGATACAAATCTCGAACAATCCCCGATGCTATTTACCATGTTATCCCTGTTGTAAATTCAGTGTTACGTAAAACATGTCG